GGGGTTTGTGTGGTTACTACGAAGACATCCCTTCACCGTACAGACTTCTTAACCTTAGGGTGGGCACTCTCATGTCACAGAGCAACAGACACAGACTCTGTAAGCAAATCGCAAAGTCTTTATTTTTCCCCTGCCGGGTATCGAACCCGGGGACGCGAAAAAGCGACCACGCTAACCAACTAGCCACCGAGAGCGCAATTTCATCACCTGCCTCAAATAATTCCAACTAATATCGTGCACCGTTCAACTGTATAATACCAGCTGATTGTGATGATATCGAACATTATTGTTTATTAAATGATATTAAAGGAATTATAGAGACAGGTGCAGCAATTCAATGAATGCGAAACGGAATTGTGATGCAGCGTGCTGAATCGTTACTGTAAACCACCGTAAATAAGCGGGAGTTAGCTTCAGGAAGAGAGATCAGACATTTGCGTGTTATTCTTCCATCACGTCCGTAGTGTAGTGTATTGTCTCTGACAGGGAGGCCATAGGCTTCAAGTCCTCGCCCTAGCGGAGTTTATACCCTAGATCTAATTCAGTCACTTACACGAGGAGGGTTCTGGCAAACGGCTGCTGTAATCGGCAGTTTAACAAAATGTCTTCGATCAACACCAGACGAACGACGGTCCAGTAAGGAACGGACACCATACCGCCCAAGTTAAATTTGCCATTATTGATGTACCTTTTCTAGAAAATTATTAACTAGAAAATTTTGATATTTAATACACTTAAAGATAAAAACCTTTCTTATTATTTTGACATTTTGTGAGTTCAATTGTAACTTTTGCCCTAATTTTTCAGCAGTTTTTTACAAACATTTTTTGTATTATTATAGAAGAAGGTTTATATAAAAAATTGTAATTTATTGTCAATACTATAAAGTACGTATCCTGTAATTTTCAATAAATTTTGATTAATAGTTTCTGAGAAAAGGTACATTAATTACAAAATAAGTACATTTTTGGGAAATGCCAAAAGAAAAGAGTCTGTACTTGCCCCTGCTCTACTAGAACATTCCTGTGCTGTACACTGGATCTTCTTCATTGGAAACGACAATTCTACGAACGTATTATCAAGAGTATGTTTCATTAACTCATTAACACCCAACTTGCGTTCAAAATTACGAAAAAAATAGCGCATACACTGCACATACGTGAATGCAGTGTAAAAATAGGGGTCGTGGCTCATGCGCACTAAGACATTGAAATACGAATTAAAAGGTCTTCCAAGCATTCTAGAAGAATCCCAAGGGGATGCAACCACCACCGACTTTCGTGGCTCAGAGCATCACGTGATATCACTGAAGTTCTTCTGACCAAGAGATCCTAGGATTCGATTCACGTCGGCGGCAGGATATTCGACACTAGCTACACAGCCAGGTCACATTCAGCCGCTGTCTGGAGGAGAATTTCAGCGGCCGGCTGCTCTGATCGGTAGTTTTCCGCGGTTTCTCAGATCAACAGTGGGGGAATTCTGGAGCAGTATCCTAATAAACGGGCCACGGCCGGCGCACTATTTCCTTTCTATTCCTTACTCTAGCCTCACCTCCACTTCCACACAGAGTTACATGCAATACCAGACGTGACGGGATACCAATCGAGAGTTTAGAACTTGTCCCGGCTATTGTTCCGGGGTGTCCCAATGGAGATACCTGGTTGGGAAATATCCCGCAAGTCGGCGTGCAGGTCGGTGCCGGATCTCGACAGCCGGCGGCGGAAGAAAATCCCCATCTCCCGAAGCAAACACGCGCACCACACTTACGGGACCAGCGACCCTCGCGGTTGACCGCGCGCGGCGTGTGCGCAGGCCATGCGCTCCTCGTGCGAGACGTGCGCCGAGTGGGCGGCGCGCAAGGAGCGGCGCGTGACGGCGCACAGCCCGCTGCCGACGCGCCGCTCCGCCCGCGCCAGACTCATTCCGGCGTCGGGTCGCGCCTCGGCCTCGCCGCGGCCGTCGCCGCAGCCTAGGGCGCGGCGCGGCGCCGCGCCCAGGCGCGCCCGGCGAGCCGTGGTCGCCGCCGCACGCGCCGCGCCGCAGGAGCACGGTGACGGCGCCGCGGGGCGTGTTCGGCGGCGTGGACCTACGCCGCCGCATCGTGCCCTCGCTGCCCGAGGAGGCGCCCAAGAAGGACACCGACTTCTGGAAGAGGGCCTTCAACCAGCTGGAGCAGAGCGTGCGAGGGGTAAGCGCGGGAGGAGGTCGTCGTGGGGTCGAGATTAACTGCACGTCCCTGTAGGGTACGAATAGGATCCGAGTAGAGGCCGAAGAGAGTGCAATCGGTACCCCAATAGGTTCGGGGTGAAGTCACGCAGACGGAGATCAGAGTGGGGTCCGTCAGAGTTCAGAGTGGGGTACGTCTGAGATTAGAGTGGGGTACGTCTGTGATTAGAGTGGGGTTCATCAGAGATCAGAATGGGGTCCGTCAAAGATCAGAGTGGGGTCTTTCAGAGATCAGAGTGGAATCATTCAGAGATCAGAGTAGAATCATTCAGAGATCAGAGTAGAATCATTCAGAGATCAGAGTGGAATCATTCAGAGATCAGAGTGGAATCATTCAGAGATCAGAGTGGAGTCCGTCAGAGATCAGTGGGGTCCAAGAGAAGTCTGACTAGGGTCTGGTGTGGGGTCCTAGTGGGGCAGAGTGGGGCCGACGTGAAGTTCCAGTGGGATGCGAGTGAGATCTGAGCGGGATTCTAGTCGGATCGAGGTGCATGAGTGTTCGGTGAGAAAGGCTGTAGCAGGATCTGAATGGTTTGGGCGTAGGGTGCAAGTCGTGTTTGATTTTCCTACGTGCATGGCCTCTGAGATTGCGTGGGAGGCGCTCTGAGTATGTGTAAGAGTGGGTGGTGTGCTGTCGCAGGCGTAGGGGCAAGACTGAATTCGTGGGAGGCGCTGTGTGTGTGAGAGAGAGTGTGTGTGTGTGTGTGTGTGTGTGTGTGTGTGAGAGAGAGAGAGAGAGAGAGAGAGAGGGGGGCGTGTGTTGTGGCAGGCGGATTGCCACGGCTGTGATTGCGTGAGAGGCCCTGTGTGTGTGAGAGAGAGATGTGTGACTGCATGGCCGACGCTATGAGTTGTGTGAGAGTGGTTGGTGTGCTGTCGCAGGCAGAGGGGCTAGACTGTGATTGCATGGAAGGCCCTGTGTGTGTGTGTGTGTGTGTGTGTGTGTGAGAGAGAGAGAGAGAGTGGTGTGTTGTGCAGGTCGGAGGGCAGTCTGTGAATGCGATGGGAGGCCTGTGTGTGATGTGTGTGTGTGTGTGAGAGAGAGAGAGAGAAGAAGAGAGAGAGAGAGAGAGAGAGAGAGCGTGCTGCGGCAGGCGGAGGGGGTGTCGCACGAGGCGGCGTGGGAGGCGCTGCCGCTGGACGTGATGTGCCGGCTAGCGCCGGTGCTGGGCCTGACGCTGCCCCCGGGGTCGGAGGACATGGAGGCGCTCATCCGCCGGCGCAGCAGGTGCTACTGGGAGGAGCTGCCGCTGCCCGAGGAGCTGCCCGAGATGAAGCCGAAGCAGGAGGAGGCGCCGAGCGACTGGCGGTTCGCGCCCATCCCCACCGACGGCGGCCGCCCGTTCCGCACCTTCAAGCGCGGCTCCGACGTGGGCCGCATCGACCTGCCCACGTGGTACAAGCTGGCCAAGGAGTCACAGGACGAGGAAAAGGTACACGCCCTTGCCAGCTTCTCTCCGTTTGCAACAATCATTTTATCAATGTCATACTCTATGCTGTATTTGGAATTTTTATTCACCTTTGTTCAACCTCCTGGTCCTCTCTTACTCCTCCTTCATCCTCCTCGTCCTCTCTTCCTCCTCCTCGTCCTCTCTTCATCCTCCTCGTCTTCTCTTCATCCTCCTTATCCTCTGTTTATTCACCTTTTCCTTTGTTCATCTTCTTAGTCTTTTGTTTATTCTCTTTGCCTCTTTTATCCAGTGTTCATTCCGTTGGATTTTTTGTTCATCCTCTTGGCGTTCCTTCATCGTCTTGACCTTTCCCTATTCCCTTTACCCGAGTAACAATCTTTGAAATCGTGCTTTTCCCTTGCTAAATTCTTCCAACCAGTTGAATTCTCAGTTCTTTTTATTAATAGCATAGAAATATTGTTTCAATTTTTCAATAATCTAACTGCGGTCTGAATTTCTTTATGAGTTTGTCGGTTGTTTTATTTGTGTAGATTTCAGTGTTTTAGGAATCGGAAGATCATTTACATTGTTTATGTTGTGCTTTTCGATCAAAATATGAGGCAATTTGTCATAAGGATCTGTCATAATAAAAGTTGTCACTTTTCGAAAAACTGTGTAGAATATTAACGTTACGTAATATGGTTTTCTATTTAGCTACGTTCTGAAGATATATTTTTTTTATCGTTTGACAAAAGAATTTTGTCACACATAGATATTTTGACATTAAATACAAAAATTTGAAGTCAGTATAGCATTTTTTCATTTAAATATTTTTATGTTTTGCCAACAGTGATGATCTACAGATGTCCCGTATACAGAAGGGGCCTTTTGATACCTTGTCGGTGACATTTTATAGATTCTGAGATATCTATTTATTTAAGTCGATTATACTGTAAATTTGTGGTGCTTCGTTTCATCATTAAAAACCACAGCATTTCAATTTTTCATTAAAACTATGAAAATACATTGCCACTTAAATATAGCCTAAAATAAACAATTTATTCGTGACTTCTAGGCTGTCCGGGTGTTGCCGCGTCGTTGGCAGAGAAGCCGACGTTTCGCTTGTCATATCGCAGGCTTCTTCAGAGTAGGAACGAATTCAGGGTTGGTCACTACCCTGAAGAAGCCTGCGATATGGCAGGCGAAACGTCGGACTCTCTCCCAACGACGCGGCGACACTCGGACAGCCTAGAAGTCATGAACTCGAGCCTCGTAAGTCTACGTGTAAACGCTTTATTCCGAGAATATATAGTGTCGCGTTCACGTAGCGTTCTTTCACTCATTCGACTGACGTGTCGGTCGTGTGTGGCGGTGCCTGCCCAGCCGGCGCCGAAGGCGGCGGCGCCGTCCGCGCCGTCCGAAGCGGCCTCGAGGAGCCTCTCGGAGATCGCAGAGGAGTCGGATGCGCTGACCAGCTCCCTGGAGGAGGAGGAAGGAGGGTCCGAGCTGGAGGAGGAGGAAGAGGAGGAAGAGGAGGCGGCGGCGGAGGAGGAAGAGCCGGTGGCGGCGGCGGCGGCGGCGGCGGCGGCGCCGGCGAAGGCAGAGCCGCCCGTTGTGGAGCTGTGGAGGCTGAAGGAGACAGACGAAGAGCGGCGCGCGCGCGAGGCCAGCGAGGAGCGCGAGCGGCAGGAGGAGGAGGAGGAGCGGCGCAAGAGGATGCTGCGGGTGTCGCGCCTCACCAAGACGAGGGCGCAGCTCAACGCCGACCAGAAGCGCCTGCAGACCTTCATGAGCAGGGAGCTGGACCAGCAGCTGGTCGATCTGGAGGTGCACCCGGCTAGCACGTGCCCCAGGTAGGATGTCTCTTCGGAGGTATGTAGTAAGAGGACGGGGCAACAATAATTACTCTTCACATCCTAGTGGGAAAATTCCATTTAACGAAGTTTCACCTGCCGTTTTCCCCTGTTTGGTAGGCGATCTGTTATGCTTGGCGGGTATACGAACGTGAAACACAGACTGTCAGTCCACGGCTTGCAGAACACTGATAAGTCGGGAGTTGTTTAACATTTAGCAGAAAATATTACAATCATGTGTCCCTTCGTTATTTGAAATTTCTGACCACATATTCGTTAGCATAAAGTTATTGTCTTCCACTCCTCTATATACACCAGAAATTTGGAAAATTTATTCTGAGACATTTGTATAGAGTAAAAGCTCGTTATATGCAAAGTTATTTATGTACTAGTTTTCTTAAAATAATTGAACTTTTATATGTACTCATCCATTATATGTCTCGTAAAGAGCAATTGGCTTCGGCGCTGTTAGATACCGAGGTTCCTTTCGATCACCCAATAACCGGTCGAATTTACCTAATATTCGTGACTTCACGTTGTTAACAAAGTCGGCGAGAGTCACCGGTTTTGTAGTCGTGGCTTTTCAGTAGATCCATTCCAGCATTATCCTGGATTACCGAAGGAAACCACGAAAATTCTGGTTAGAATGGCCAGAACGGGGATTGAACACGGACCTTCCGAATGCGAAGTCAAGGCGTAGCGCCCTGAGCCACTTCGCTCGGTAAAGTTATTTACCCACAATACGACAATTTGGTTGTTTTAAACTGAATATGGGATTGGTATTCCTCTACCTCACTTTAGATATTCTAAAATAGCCAGTTTTCCTTTATTGTTTTTTTATTCTATCCCGTTACACTATGCCTCTTCACGACACAGAAGATGGCATTACAATGATTTTTTATAAATGGATTACTAAAAGTAATTCTACATATGTAATAAAAACTAACCAACAAACACGTTTAATAACAAAATAAAATAGTGCAATTGAAACGACTTCTAGGGGAACGGCCAGAATTCTGTGATAACATGGTGGTTATACTGGAGTAGATATTTTCCCTCTTTTCTCTGCTGCCTCAAATTCGCACAAGTAGGACTTCCAATTACGTCCCTCTAGTTTCACCTAGAACGTTAATGGATTGTATTGACAAGATCTTTGAATCGGCTCTGTTTGACCACCAGTGTAAAAGATGAACAATCACAGAAAATGTGATACTTGTTAATTTCCTACACCTACAGAAAATATATAACAAAAGGTTACTATAGGGTAATTTGATCCAGTAAAAAAAATATTCACAAGAATTTATTCATATTCAGTACATTCTTGTTTTTAGAAGCCATTTTATAGTATAAATATCGTCGCAAGATTTTCTTGCATTATGTAATATACACGTCTTTGATATAATTACTATTTTCCTCGTTTTTGTCAATTAAGTTCGTAGTGAACAAATAAGTATAATTACTCAATCGTTTAATACAAAATCAAATAATATAAAAAATGAATTTATTTCCCAACTTCAAATTTCGATATTCATGTGTCCAATTCAAAGTTGCAATATTCTGGTAATAATCATATACTGGCCTCAAAAATTGTCACAAGTTTAAGACACCATGGCAATCATGTAGCCACGCGATACGTGGATCCAACCGGGTCTCAGTCATGATTATTGGGGTAGTTGCTCATTACTTTTTCTATCGGTCGAATCAGCATATAAATGCTGATTCCATTTTAACACCTCAAGGTTGTAAGCCCTGGGAATTGGATGAAATGATGATTATTATTTGATGAAATAGACACACACAAACATGCAGAGACACACATTATTTATTATTATTATTATTATTATTATTATTATTATTATTATTATTATTATTATCATTATTATTATCATTATTATTATCATTATTATTATCATTATTATCATTATTATTATTATTATTATTATTATTATTTTGTTGATTCTTAGTAAATCTTCGACGCTCAACAGTTCAGAACGGCCCTCGGTTCTCTTTTTCGGATTCTCGGGTTTCTCGGTACACTACATAAAACGATATGAACCGCACGTGACCTTCAATTTTGAAAACAACGTATATTAAATGTCAAATTTCTAAAAAAAGAAAATCTACAAAAAATATAAAATGGATTTATTAAATGTTCGAATGACATAGAAATTTAATGAAAATGAATAGAAATTAAATGACATTGAATGACACAAATTATAATAAATTCAATGAAAATAACCGGCTTTGATTGTATAATGGTTATCATGCCGGGATACTGATCCCCAGTTCGTGGGTTCAAACTTGGTCAAAGTCGGGGAATTTTTGAGGTTGCAAAATTAAACAACGTTCTTTTGGATGGTTGTTGTCATGTAAAACAGATCCTAGGGAAGGCATTTCGCCGATCCAGGCAGAATTAAATGCTCTAAAAAAGTTAACACCAATCAGAGTTTCGATTTGAATTTGTGGATAAAATTGCAGATATTGTATATTGGCCTGCGGTATTTGGTATTCAAATTAAACGTCAAAACTGGCGCCCTAGCGCCCCTAGGCAAAGCAATTTCAAACTAGCCTAGGCAAACTTGCTCCGGTTAAGTCTGACAATAAGGCGCTAGGGCTTCTGCAAACTAGAATAAGCACCAAGTATAGCAGTAAGCCAATAAGCAGTATGCCAATAAGCACCGAGTATAGCAGTAAAAAAGAAAGAAGATAAGTGTGAGGATAGAAGATAGCGAAGGGCTGGGTGACTGGTTGGTTGGTGGTGCAGTGGCTTGCGTGTGCGCGCAGGGACCGCGGGTACTTCCAGTGGCCGACGCCGCCCAACAACCCCTACTACAAGTTCCTGCGCAAGTCGCCGGCGAAGGCGGCGGTGTGGCGGCGCGCCGACCGCCCGCACACCACGGGCCAGGCCATGGACACGGCCGTGCTGCTGCACCCGGAGTACAACCTGCTGGAGAAGGCCAACCACATCACGCACACGGTGAGCGCCTCCCCGCACCTCCGAACGATTGCTCTCTTCACTCAGTAGAAATAGTTACAGACGCTACCTTCACCTCAGGGGGCGACCTCTTCGATTTGTTTGACAATAGCTTTTCAAGCTGCTTAAGTGGCGATATTTTCTTTTCCATGATGGAATTAATCTCCCGGACATATTTTGAACGTTAACTAGAGCAGAGGTTCAGGTTCACTACAATCCAATCTCGTTATGGGTACTTGAAATGTAAGTGAAACGAAACCAGTGACTAAATTTCACTATAACCGAGGGTGCACTACCTCCGAGTTCACTATAACCGGAGTTTACTATAACCGTGTAAGTGGAAGGTTTAAATAAGATGCGTCAGGGTAGCGCATGCTTACCGAGAGAGCCAGCCCCAAAAATGCTGACCACCGAAACGGAGAGAGCAGGCTGGGACCGGGTGTGACGCAAGGCTTATAAAAGAGGCTACGGGAACAGAGACGGACGCAGAGTGAGTTAGGATGCGCGCCATAAGACGTCAGTATAGTGAATTGAATGGGAGGGTCCTCGATATTCTTCAGTTGCAAATGAGACTTGCACTTTTTGGTGGTTAGACATCTTCTAAATGGCTTTCGCGGCCAGAGTCATGTGCATGATCTTGGCTGTCCGCGTGACGCCGCGTCGAACGCTGTGATGCCCACGTTTCGACTATCTTGTCGTGGTCTTCCTCAGGGCTGGTATGATATCTAGACATCGTCTAGTTACGAGCAAGGCGTTCTCTTCTGGGAATACTAATCATTGACAAGATGTGTAGTCCTGAATTGAAAGCGGAACATTCGTCAGAGAAACGTTTATCATTGTTATAATTTTTGACTTCTTATTTGCAATATTTCAAATACCAAAACAGTAGCGCGCGAAAACAAACGTCCGTTTGCTATGCGGCCAAAGGACATATTTTCTACGTTAACTATGGCCGACGATCAGGTTCACTACAACCCAATCTTCTTATGCTTATTGGTAATGTAAGTGAAAGAATACCAGTGACGTAATTTCACTACAGCCGAGGGTGCACTACATCCGAGTTCACTATAACGGAGTTCGCTATAACCGTATATGTGGAAAATTTAAATGGGACGCGAACGCGGCAGGGTAGCGCACGGTTACCAGGAGAGCCAGCCGCGAAAATGCTGACCGAAGCGTTTGCCACGCGGCCAAAGGTCCGCGACTGCCACTCGAACTGCGCGCGGGCGGGGCGGGGCGGTGCCGCAGATCACGACGGAGTTCCTGGAGTGGATGGAGTCGCTGGGCGGCGTGCAGCAGACGGAGCTCAAGGAGGACATCCTGCAGCAGCTGTTCGACGTCACCTTCGACCTGCCGGCGGCGCACGCGCTGTGCGTGCGGGTGCGCGAGCTGCCCGTCGTCACCAAGGCCATCGCAGACGCCGCCTTCGCCCCGCAGGTACCCCTACCCCCCACTCGCTCACTTGGCTGATTCCTTTTAAACATTGGTTTCAAGGTCCTCTTAATCTTTTAGGCAGACATTACAGGACCTTCAAACCAAAAACATCAAGAAAGGCAGGGATTATTTTAATTTTTTTCAAAACAATGGTTGATTAATTCACTGTTAGTTATTCCGGGCGCGTCAACTACCGATATAATGTGTACCGTAAGTGTAGTACATGTTTTGGTTGGGCGGTGGCGGTGATCTCCCCCCGCTGGATGGAGATATGAGGCGCCGGTCTACTGTCGGCCAGCGGGGTTTCCCGAACCAGGTATCTCCCACTAGCTGGGCCCGCCCTAGCCGGGGCTAGCTCTAACCTCCCGACCGGTCTCCGGGAATGTGTGGTAGAGTAGCGCATGTTAGTGTGTGTGTGTGTGTGTGTTAGGGGTCAAGATAGAACAAGAAAGAGGAAGGAAATATCGCACGCGATCTGTCGCTCGTTTGTTAGGGTACTGCACCGGCATTCGCCTGATCTTGGTTGGAGAAATAACGAAAAACTACCGACCGATCAGAGCCGCCGATCGCGAAAATTCTCCTGTAGGTAGCGGATGAATTCCACTGAGCTGACAAGTTAGTGTCGAAATCCTGCTGCGCTATTGACTCGAAACCCAAGATCTCCCGGACAGACTCACTGAAGTGACATGAGTTGACGCCATGGTCCGTGTAAGCGCATTGCACAGATGTTCGTCACTTTGTCTGCGCCCTAACGTGACCTAACTTACACTGGTGCATGGACATTTACGAGGGTTATCCGTAAAATAAGGTCTCCAATGATTTTAAACAGAGTAAAACACGCTTATTTGCGCTGACACCTACATTTTTGGAAATATAGGACATTTTCCTAATTATCTCCATTATTACAGTTGCGACGGATGCATTGATAGACGCGGTGTATCATCTTCTTTATGCATGTGTCATAGAACTCTCCCAACGCGTCGTGCACTTAGCACGCAACTACTTACTTCGACTATTCATCGGTACCGAAACTTGTTCCTCCCAGGCGTTCCCTAAATTCACGGAAGAGCTGACAGTCACTTGGGCCTGTGTCAGAGCAGTATGGTGAGTATGTAACCCAACAAAAGCGTGTGAGTGATGAGAACGGTGTGGGGACGAGTATTAGCGTGTTGCAAAAGCTGGATGGAGCCCACCTTGCGCTGTCCTTGTCAAAAGCGGTCTTACGGACATCAGATATCACGACACATAGTTCCAGAACCGCCATCCGTCAATATGCAAGCATTTACTTTTCCATTTTGGCAATTGTTTTGTTGGTAACTGATGGCTGTCTGGCACGCTCTCCATCATGGATGTCTGTACGTCCGTTTTTAAATTCTCCTGGCCGTTTACGCACTTTTTCGCGCCAATACACAGTTTTCCGAACACGTCACATAGCTGAGAGTGAATTTTTATCTTGTTTGCACACAAAATCAATTTATAGAGAGTATGTTGACATCGGACAGGGGTGGCGAGTAGGAACTCTATCGTGAACGGCTCCGACATCGAGACTAAGCGAAGCGAAGATCGGTGTGTCGGGTATTTAGATAGGTAAAACTAGGCTGTAGTGCGAATTTTATACAGCTGCTTCTCAAGGCCCGACTTGATAGTGGCATTATGCCACTGCATTTCGCGCCTTTGCTCAATCGTGCCACTAGATGTGGCATGGAGCAGTGCACAATACGGACGCGATCATGCGACATCTAGCGGCAGCAGCCACGATAGACGCGAAATGTCACTGTGAAGACGGGACCTAAGAGGTAGCTTTATAAAAATCGCACTATCATCGCCAGTATTGCCGGATTACACGTAATTGCGACTGCAGTGCCTCGGAGACCTTATTTTACGGACAACCCCTCGAGGGCGGCCTCGTTGGCTGTGATGTGTGGTGGTGGTGGTGGTGGTGGTGGTGGTGGTGGTG